ACAATAGTCATAAAATAAGTTAAAATTGCAAAACAGAGCTTGACAAATAAGTTAAAATTGCAAAACAGAGCTTGACAACAAATAAAATCAGCACTAAAGCAAATAAACCAGTTTAAACAGATGCGTTTTGAGCTGTGACTTAAATACGGAAAGGCAGTCAATATTTCTTATGGCTGGAGGAAGAGAGTTCCAGAGCCGAGGAGCAGAGCAACTGAAAGCTCTGTTCCCCATAGTAATAAGGCGTGAGGACGGAACAGTAAGACGAATAGCAGATGAGGATCTGAGAGGGCGGGAAACAGTGGTGATATGGAGCAGGTCACACAAATATGAATGAGCAGATTTATGGATAGGAGGGAATTACAGTAATCAATACGGGACGTAATAAGACTATGGACAAGGATGGCAGCAGCATGGGGAGTAAGGAAGGGACAAAGTCGGTTAATATTATGTAAGTGAAAGTATGCAGACCGGGTTATGTAATTAATGTGAGACTGGAATGAAAGAGTATTATCAAGTATGACACCCAAACTCTTAACCTGAGGGGAGGGAAGGGTAGGAGAATTTTCAATGTTAATGGAAAAACTGTGGGATTTGGTTAAGATAGATGGTGTACCAACAAGTAAAACTTCAGTTTTATTACTGTTGAGTTTGAGGAAATTGGAGAAGAACCAGGATCTAATCTCAATAAGACAGTTTGAGAGGGAGGTAGGTGACGGTATAATTGATGCGAGACAAAATACAACTCCACAACTTTACTAGGGCAAAAAAACCCATCCATTTATTTTCACTTAAACAAGCAGCTGTTTTTATGTGCATTAAAGCATATTACAAATTTAACAGTACAAATGCAAATTCCTTGCTGAAAGTTTAACCAAAAGGCATTTCCAGTAGAAATGGGCTGACATATCCTGAGCATAACCATGTATAATATCCACTGAAGTTAAAAAAAAAAAAAAGGTGCTTTGCAACATTAAACTGCAGTGTGCCAAATAAAAAAGTCAAATACGTATTTTTCGGACCATAAGGTGCACAGGATTATAAGACACATTAAGCGAAACAAAGCAGTCAGATAAATCAAACTTTATTCAACTCATTCTTCTTGCTTCCTCCACTTCTGTACCATTGATTCATTAATGCTGTATTCTGTCACAGCTGCTCTAAGAGCAGCTTCTATTGTGGATGGGTTATATCAGTTGTTCTCCTGACTGAAGTTTGGTCTGTATACAGCATCCTGCCATGCGGTTGCATTTGTCTCTAACCATCAGGAACCTTCATGTTAACTTTTATAGAGTGGAAAAAGTTAGCGTTCATCCTCCAGCTTCACTGATTATGTTATACTAACATAGCTGTGTCGCTAGCGATCACGTAGCACATCATGATATACCAGCTAGCCCAACTTCAGTAACCTTACAAACGTCACTGCTGTTTAATTTCCTGTCTTCATTTATGTTGGAAGTGATAGCAGAGCTGTACGTTTGAGTTTTTTCAGAACTCTCTCAGTCAGAACATGCTATGTCATGCTTCGGTAACTAGCGAAACTAGCGAGCTAACTTCAGCTTGCGTGTTCTACAAAAAAACTTTGCTTTGGTGGGTATCTGACGGACAAACACCAAACCAGTTCCACATCATTGAAGTGGCACCATTTTTGCAAACCAATTCTGGTTCATCCATTTCACTCAACGATCTGCTTTCTCCCTTCTCATTCTCTGTTGCCAACATGCTTTTTCGGCCATGTGCGTATGAAAACAAAGGCACTGCGCATGCGCCTTTTACCCATATTCTATCGCGATATCTAACTTTCTTATCGTTGCCTACATATAAATTGACAATTTATATTTGCATTTAAAGTTATGGAATATGATTCATTAAACATGTTTGTGGCTGTTACAGTAAAAAATATAACTTTTTCTACTCGGATTTCATTTTCTTATCGTTGCCTGACATTGTACTGGTATTACCGTGAAAGGTATAATATTGTCCAGCCCTACTGCTAACTCTGTCTTTGAGCCAGGTGCTCTTCTGTCACACAACTATTATATTGCTTTCCAAGTTTAAACCACTGTGACAGAAATGACAACAATCCCTATGGTACACTAGTCAAGCTGGAAAGATAAGGGAGAGGGAGGAAAGTGTGACCGCCTTTGTCAAGAGCCAAACGAGGAACGAAAGGCTTTGGTGAAACTTTATACAACACAAACTTGAACATGGAAAACATATGAAATGTTTAAAGTGAGAAATTTCAGTATTTGATGGAAAATACTTGCTGATTTTGAATTTGATGGCAACAACCTCTTAAAAACACTGAGAATGGGGCAACAAAAGGCTGGAAAAGTAGGTGACATTAAAAATTAACGGATATATGAACAATTTGCAACTAACTAGGTCAGCTGCCAACATGTCAGTAACATGACCGGGTACAAAAAAAGCATCTTAGGGAGTTTCTCAGAAGCCAAAATGGGTTGAGTTTCACCACTGATCTTCAAAAACTGTATACAAATTGTGGAACAATTTCTGAATAATCTTCCTCAACACAAAATTATTTCAAAAGAGTCAGAGAATTTGGAGAAATCTCTGTGTTCAAGGGAAAAGGCTGAAATGAGATGCAAGGAAGAAGCCATATGTGAACCAGAAACACAGCTGACTTCTCTGAGCCAGAGCTCATTTTAAATAGACTGAGAAGTAAAACTGTTCTGTGGTTAAATGAACTGTCCATGAACTGTCAAATGCCTTCATCACTGATGGTATGGGGTGCACATGTGCTGAAGATATATAAAGATTTTACATTTTAAAAAATGGGAAAAAACAAAGTACAGATGAACAGAATATACTGATAAAAGCAGAAAACACATGAAAAAGAATCAAAGAAAAAAACGAATGACCTCAGTGTCAGTGACATTGAAACCAGGATGTTTAACATCATCTCAAAGTGCATCCTGAAGGAGCACATGCTGTATGTCTGAGAGATAATTTGAATGACTTCTTCTCTCTCATTGAACGAGAAATGGTTTATAACTGAAGTGCTGGCTTCTGGGGAATGTAATTTAACAGGTTAATAAACAAAAGTAGCGCATTTGTTGTTTGATGCATCTGATATTACCTGCAGGTGGTGAAATATCAGACCAATAATCGATTAAAAGTGGCTAAATTGAGTTAAACCATTTCCCATGAAGGCCTTTCCAAAACACAATAAATGCAAAATAATTTCACAGGTTTTTCAGCTACTATTTGCTGCTCTGGTGCACTTTTCTTTTATGATTTATTTTTTTCCTTGTGTTGAATTTAAATGCTGTAGATTAAGTATGCCGTTGGAGAATAAGGAGTGAGACAACAAAAAAAATGAAAGCAATGTCCTGATTTCGCCTCGGGTCGTAGATCTTCAGCACAGACTATTTATTACTTTATTATTTTCACTCTGAATTAACGTTAGGGTGGGTGTGAGGTCCGTGAGCTCACCATGTGGTTTGTTTGCATTGCTGTTAGCTTACTCTTCTTGTTTGTCAAAATGCCTTTAAACCTAAGCTGTACTTTGTACTATATAGCAAATGACAACATTACTCACAAAAATGCTCATGTTGAAGATGAGAGCTGAAAGATGACCAGTCATGCTATAATCAATCCATAAGCAACAGTTTGAAAAATTACTTTATTCAAATAAATGTTTGCATCTTTGCACACCAGCTCAAAAGATGACCGGTTATTACCTTACTGCTGCCAACAGCTGACCACAAATGAAGTACACTCACTAATTAGGTAAAGCTTGGTAGTGCTAGGGTAGACTTACTTTTGCCTTTAGAATTGCTTTAACTCTTCGTGGAACAGATCCAACAGATCTGGAAACATTTCTCAGGGATTTTAGTCCACATTAACATGTTATGCTACACATACAGCTGTCAGAAAATGGGTAAACTCTGGTTATAAAAGGATGATTAACATGGTGAGCACCAATATACAGCTAGGCTCTGGTGTTTAAATATGGCTTAGTTGGTTGAAAAGATCATTACACCATAATGGATTGCATTTATATCGCACTTTTCGAGACCCTCAAAGCGCTTTACATTAAAATTCCACTATTCATTCACATACTGGTGGAGGCAACCTACCCAAGGAAACAACAACCAAGACAGACAGAGCTGGGGATCGAACCAGGAACCTTCCGGTTACAAGATGAGCTTCCCAACCCCCTGAACCACGATCGCCACCACAACAAGCCTGTCTTGAACCTTTGACATGAGGCAGGATGGATTCAGGCTTTCATGGTATTTAGTGAATTTGAGACTTATCAGGCAATTTTCTAGTCTTTTATTATCCAATTTTGGTGAACCTGTGTGACTTATAGCCTCAATTTTTATGTTTAGCTGATTTAGCTGATACCATACCTGGTGTGATCTTCTGGTACTGTAGCCCATCTGGTTCAAGGCTTAACATATCAGAATTCCCAGAAGAGTTTTATTGTTTCTTTTTAAAACAAAACAAAACAAAAAATATTCAACAGGATAGATCGATAGACAGATAAATCAAAATTAAGGATGAATGATTGGTGTACAATGTGTATTATGAGGCGAAACAAAAAACAGCAAAACCTAAATACATTAACAATACTAATTACCCAAAGTGATGCTGCAAAATTAATTAAAATAAGCTTCTAAATGCTAAAGTCATTGTTTGTGTGATGTTTGTCTTATATTAGCAATCATTTTAAATCTGAGCTTCCTTTTTGAGCTTGTTCAGAATACTGTCTTTAAACCTCAGGTAAGTTGTCATATACTAAGAATAACCTTTAACGATGAAAATAAATACTATTTTGTCTTTACATATTTTATTTTGTGGAGTTGAGGGCTCTTTCATTCAGTCACTCACTTAAAATTACCCTACACGTTAGCGACACGTGGAAACTACAATTCCCAGAAAACCCAGCAGTTGTCTCTCTGAGGTCACCAGGAAGCTGCTTCTTCACAACAGACGGTGTTCGCTAATTATTCACCGGCGTACACCGCAAGCAGCCCAGCTAGGCGGAGTTAACCACTCTATTAAAACTAGCTCCCCGGTGAACTGCTTCGGAGTTGTTTGCTCAGTATAAACCTCTAATGAACAAAAAGACATCTTTTTAGCTGAACAGGTGAGGACGAGCAGGAGGCTTGGAGGACGGTATATTTGAGTGAGAGTTGGATTTTATACAGCCTGTTGGTTTCACCTGTGTAATTTGGCCAGCATTACTTTTTATACATTTAGCGACGATAGTAACTCTATGACAGTTCTGAGCGGTTTGGTATGACTGTTTCGTGTGTGGTTCTTTCTTAAGTTTGTTACTGTTATGTCGTAAGCATGTAGTTGTTGTTTAGTACACACGTGATTCACCCCAAAGTGTTTATGACATATCCAGCGGTCACTGTAACGTCAGTCTGCTCAGGCGCCCCGTGCACGCAGAGCTTCAGCAGAGGTGTCTTGTCTTCTCCTTGAAAGTAAGCCAAACTGCTCCTTAGTGCTATACAAAGTGTTGTACGCAGTGTGAAGATGTGCTCCACTTGTGGTGCTGTAGCTTCCCCTTGTTGCTTCGACTGTTCATGACGCATAACGTAACCGAGAAATAGCCCGTTTTGGGCCAAACTGCATTCAGTGATTGGCTCAAAAGCATTGAGTTTGTTGGCAGTGCGGTGTCGTTACTTAGGTACTAAACCATGTTACGTGTGCATGGTGCCATAGACAGTATAAAGTAACGGAAAGAAAGGATTTCAGTATAAAAGTAGAATCTTATACTGTCTGTGGACATTTGTGTACTGTAGTGTGCATGGTTGCACTCACTGATAATGGATGTCACTTTGACCTTTGAATAAAATACTCAGGTCCAGTTTCAAAGTCTAAAGTTTAAACGTCTCTGTCGCTGCAGACCACCAGGAAGGGTATTTCACCTTTCAACTGTCTGTGGTTTAGTTTGTCCTCTTCTGGTAGTCTTGGGTGCTTGAAAAGAAGGCAACGGGACTTTCTTGTTCTTTAGTTCTGAAACAACTATTGGAGATTCTTAATGATCCTGGTTCATTAACTCACTATTTTGGATACCCCAGGATAATTCAAGGTGTGAATTGTTTTGTTTTTTTAAACATTACCACCCTCTGCCACAATGTAAGCTATTAAGGGCACATGGGTCAAATTGTGACTGGGGAGGGATCTCAAGACTGCATTGTAGGTGGGTGATAGTTAGTGTCTGCTTAGTGACGGTCATTCAGAGTGGATGTAGACAGCCTCCTTTATCCTTTTCTTAAACAATTCCTCTCGGTCAAAAAGATGAACATCTACTATGACCTGGATGACTGAGGACCTGCACAGACATCCATCTTATGTTTTTACTATAACACATATTTACATGTATATGTTATACTTAGAGACTTAGACTTAGAGAGTTTTATTGTCATTGTGCAGTTTCTTGCACAGCGAAATTGGGTAGCTGGACCACAAGGTGCAAAAGTAAAGAAGGGAAAACAATATACAATGAGTATAAAATAAATAAATAAATAAAAAAGCAATATATTTTTATACATATATGTGTGAGTGAACTATATACATGGTGTATGCGTAGGAAACATTGAAACAGAAAATAGTCTGTCAGTATACCCTACACTACTTGCCAAAAGTATTTGCTTGTCTGCCTTCACATGCATATGAAGTAACATCTTATTCAAAAACCATGGGGTTTAAAATATGTTGGCCCACCTTTTGCAGTTATAAAGGTGCTCAGTCAGGGTGAGGTCAGGTCTCTGCAGGCCAGTCAATTTCGTCCACACCAAACTCATTCGAAAAAAAAGATATCGAAAAATATATATAAAAGGATATCGGTGAGTAGTGGCAGCAAGTCGCGCCAGCGTTCACTCAACCGGAAGATGATAACTTGTACCTCCAATGGCATTGTGGAACCTGCTTTGTGGACTGATGTACAGTTTTGTTGGAACAGGAAGGAGCTAAGTCCAGTCCCCACACAGTGCAGCATGTTTTACACCACTTCAACTGAGGCTTTGGATTGCGCTTGGCGATTTAAGGATTGGATACAGTTGGTCAGCCATGGAAACCGATACCATGAAGCTCTCTATGCAATGGTCTTGAGCTAATCTGAAGGCCATGTGAAGTTTGGAGGCCTGTCGTGATTGATTCAGGAAGTTGGAGAAACCTGGCTACTTCTATGCACCTCCGCATCCACTGACTGCTCTCTGTGATTTTAGGTGTCCTTCCACTTTGTTGCTGAGTTGCTGTTGCTCTCAATCACTTCCACTTCCACTGACTGTGGTAGTCACTCTGGCACTGATTGCTTTTTCACAACAGCAATGTCCTTAATAGTAGCAGATCCATTTTTTTCTTGGTTTGTTTTCAGCAGACCAACCACATTAAAACCTCACCAATTTTACACTTAACCTTGGGTAGATCACTTAAGAAAGTCCGCAGATACGCAGTAGAACCAATATAGAACTTTTAAGACCAATATTGAAGCTGATATTTAGTAAAAGTCTGATCATTTTTTTCTTTCAGAAAACATAAGCGGCTACATGTAATTATTTATGAGTTCTTAGTTAATATGAGCTAATATTAGCTAATATGACAGTGCAGTATAAATTAAACTTTTTTATTGTCCCAATAGAGAAGTTCCAGAGCTCTGGTTGATGCAATATCAACACTCATAATATGAGTGTTTCTGTTGAATGAGCATCATCCATCCCTCTGAACTCTCTTCAAATTTGTCTTCGTCTTTGGATTACCAACGTTTAAATAAACCAAAATGCGTGTTTCTTTCATTTCATATATAAACTGTCTGCCATAAGAAAACTCACTATTTTGTTTATCTTCAGGAAAATTCACATTACAGTACAGCTCAGGTACAGTGTTGAAGCTGAGTGTTATTGCCTCTTAACACAGTCTGGCTCCATTGCCAATAGCATTCACACAGAGAGTAGCGTTCTAAGGATCCTGTGATGCGATGTGGCTTTGAAATCTGTTTTTGATTTCTCACTCTTCCCAAGGTCGACCTCGTTCCCCTTAAACAGAAGGTTTGTCGCCCAAGGATTTTTCACCCGAAATTGCACTTTCAGAGATTTGTCCCGGTTGCCTGTGTGTTTCCCTTTGATGCGCTGCAAAGCTTTCCATCTTAAAAAGAAAAAAAATGATGTTGCTGTGTTGCAGCATGACCACAGCATCAATTTAGATGTTTGAGGGATGTGCAAAGCATAAAATGGGCCCCCTTTCTCTGTCTTTCCCACAAAATGTAGGTGCAATAATAAAAGATCATGTGATTGCAGGCCATGAGCAACATAGAAATGAGATCACATCAACTGATGTTACCGGTCCAGGAATGGGGCTGCTGCTGTGCTGTTATTAACAGCTTTTTCTCCTCTGTCACAATGTGACACCCACTACGAGCTGCAGGGCATAATCAAGTCCAGAAATGAAGCTGCACTTACTGTTAGTGCTAAAGGTTCCTCATTACAGCCAGTACAGTGTTGATGTTATTGTTTTCATCTCAGTTTGAGTGTGTTTGTCGGTGAGTCATCATGGAAAACTGCTGTTCTGGAGACATGTACTGTTATATGAACTGCATATTTTTGCAAACACTGACATAGACTGGCAGACTTTTAGACTGTATGTGTGTCTGAACAGATTTTTGTCGGCTAAACTTAAATTTCTCCTAACATCACAGGGTCTGATATTAGCCTCCCCACCCCATCCCCCCAACTACTGCTATTGGTGTTGCATTGGATTGCATTAAACTGAAAGAAGTTTCTGTTATTTGATCCTATAGTCCTTTAATCATGGCACTGGCTGGGGTTAGAGTTATTGAGCTGGCAGGCCTGGCACCCGCACCCTTCTGCGGCATGATCCTGGCAGACTTTGGTGCCAAGGTGACCCGTGTGGACCGGACCAAAGTTCCTACGTCTTTGGACACACAAGCGCGGGGGAAACGATCTGTGGCCATCAACCTGAAGACCACGGAGGGTATAGCTTTGCTCAGGAAGCTCTGCATAAAGTCTGATGTGGTCCTGGAGCCGTATCGCAAAGGTGAGACCTGCAGCACAATAGTGCCAACAAGGGGTATTATGAGCTCTCTACAACACTATGGTACTTATGTACAGAATTACTTAAGTAATTATAATGTTTAAAAACAACTTAATTCTTTTAAATTCACTTACATAACAAGTTGGCAATTTAGGGAAAGAAAACTATATATCCTAATGTAACACAGAAGTATGGCTCTTTGAGTTATTTAAAAAAAACTTTGTGTTTTATTTATACTCTTATTTTTTTACAGTTAGAAGATTCTTAATTTTTAAATGCCATTGACTCTTATGTGTCTTCAAAGGCTTTACATAAGGCGACAAGCCACGTAGGAATATGAAAGTCTTTGAAAACCAACATAAGCAGTAGCACAAACAGAAAAGGTAATGTGTGATTAAATGTACATGTGGACTTAATTTTGACTGCCCAGGTGTTATGGAGAAATTTGGCCTTGGTCCACATGAGCTATTAAAGGAAAATCCTCGGCTGATCTACGCTCGCTTGACTGGATATGGTCAGAGTGGATCTTATGCCACCGCAGCTGGGCATGACATCAACTACATTGCCATGTCAGGTAACACAACTGTTAATGCTTTCAGATCAAAATTTTAGACTCATAAGACTGCAGACTTCATCAAATACTTATATGTATTTATTATTAATTGACATTTATTTTATCCTTCTTTTACGTGTGCACATAAGCTGTGAAAACAGGCCCTTTTAAGGGTGTCTGCATCTCACAATTAGAAATGAGCTCAATGCTCCTTCATGTTTAAAAAAAAGAAGCCAGTTAAGACGGTTTAAGCACTGATCTAGGATGCTTCCTGGTCACTTCCAAGGTGAGGTGTTTTGGAGCAGAACCAGGATACACTGAGAGAATATGGGCCAATCCATTAAACACCAACATATTTAAATAGCATCATTTCAAAATTCTTTAAATAGAAATGTTAACATTTTCTTACATACCATGTGGCGTTACCTTAACAACCACAAAGGCTTTTTTATCCTTCTCTGGCTTTGTGATTAAACTGTTTCCATGTTTCGTTTTTTTCAAAACAGCGTAGTTAGAACCATTTCTTCAAACTTAAAATTTATATATAAAAAGGTATGTACTCACATTCCCAGTTCCCATTTTAAAACTTCATGGCAGCGCTATAAACTGTGTAAAGGACTGCAGACTGACACAAGGTTTGAATAAAAGGGTGTAAAATGACAAGGGAGCCTTCATGAACTTGATAATTTGAGGTTTGGATAACCCTAAAAAAATGTAAATCTTAGCAAGAGTGTATTGTGTGAATCTCCGAGAACAGTGGGATTGGGTTTATGTGACTCAGAAAGATGTCGGCATCTCACCAGAAGAACTGGAGGCAGGGACCTTTTCAGGCCATTCACTGTAAAGCCTAGAGATGGTTGTGTGGGAAAATCCCAGTAGATCAAGAGTTTCTGAAATATAGACTAGCACATCTTGGAGCTAAATCATATCACATTCAAAGCCACTTTGATCACTTTTCCTCCCCATTCTGATGTCATGGTGGTTGTGTTGATCATGTCTGCATGCCGAAATACACTCAATTGTTATTGGCTGATCATATAGATAAAGGTAAAGATTCCTTTATTGTCGCTATACTTGGGCATCGTAAGGTGTAATTGGAGCAGAGCTTGCATTTCAGCAGACTAGTGTACATACATTCTTACGTGCTCTCACTCAGATATTTGTGTTAATGAGCAGTTGAGCATGTCTATCTATTAAAAGGACCAGTGGGCGTATGACTACAAACTCCCAAATGAGGTCTGATAATGTAAACGTACTTTCTAGTTGTGCCTCCAATTAAACAAGCCCTAAGAAACCTTTAATAAAGCAGAATTTACTGCTTTATTAAAGGTTCTTGTTCAGTCTTGTTAAAGCATTAATGAGAATTTTAGAAGAGGTTCTAGATATTTCTTTTATTCATATTGTTGATATGAATCAGTTGGCACCGGTTATACCAGATGAACTTGATGGATTTTTGAAAATATATTAAAAACCATTTAACCCCACACATATTCTCCTCTCTTTCACCTACGTTTGGCGTCTTTACGAAATGAAAAAAGCCCGTCTGCATGGCCTCTTGCACTTTCATGGCCAGATGCTGGGTAATAAATTGTACTCACTAACTACAGCATTATTTATTTATTTATTTTTTTCAGAGAGTCTTTGCAGTCACCCTAAAACTCTGTTCAAGAACACATTTCTGTTACAATTAGCCCATTAGTGGTTTCCTAATAATATCATTTTAGTTTCAGCAAAGGGGGTGAAATATTTTATACATACATTTACACTTACAAGGATGCATTTTAAAGGTCTAGATAACAAGTTTTGATAGTCTGTTTGGGCTTTATTTTGCAGCACACCAAGCCGAACTATCCATGTTTATAAAGGATTAAAGGGAATGATGACATCAATGTAAGCCGAGCCAAAAATATGGTTTTATATGGTACTTCATATATGGTAAAACATCAGAAACGATCCTCAGAAAAGCTTTCAATGTTACTTAGCTTGGCACTTAACGGTACAGGCAAAATGCAGCGAGTAGCTTTGTTTAGCATAAAGAGTGACCTTGGTAAGTGTATATCTAGTGTACTGTAAGGCAGGTGAGATGTGTGTATATGAAGCTGTGAGGTTTTTTTCTGTGTGTGTGTTTCCCCCACCCAACCTCCAGGACGTTTTATGCAAACTAAAGAAGTGAGTGGATACAGCCGCGATAGTAGATGTGTTTAATTGGGACCCCATGCAATAAAAGATGGTTGTGAATATTATCTCTCATAGTTTATAGGGGTGGGTTTTTATAATCGATTTATTGATTAAAATCGATTCTGGCTTGGATAACGTGAAATCGATTAATTAAAATCCTGAATCGATTTTTTTATATAAATTTATTTTGCCCGAAATGCCAGAATCTCAGGTGAAACCTCACAAAATTTCAACAACCACCAAACAGCTAAAACAGTAAATGAGAGCAGAAACACAGATTCTTCACAAAGACGTAAACACAAAGCGCAGACCTGCGGATCAGAATCAGTGAGATGTCGCCTTTCTCACCCGACGGCACGGACACGGTCGGGGCTGAAAGCCGACAGCTGGCTGATTCTGATCTGTCGGCGGGTCCGCGCTTTGTGTTCACGTCCTTTTTGTGCTGATTCTAAAGCTGTTAGTTTTATCTCTCTCCAAACAATAAAAATGAAACTGACTGAACCAGCAGCAAAAGAAGATCCAAACTATGCTTCACATAAACATCGTCATGAATTCTCTCTGACTTTTACTGTTTTGCTTCCACCACGATAAAATCACACTTCATGCACAGCTCTCTCTCTCTCTCTCTATCTGTACTTCAAAAACAGTTTCCCGTCTATCCCCGAAATCTGTTTTCTGCATTATTCACTTGCTTGTTACGCACAAGACTACCGTTGTTTACAGCGCTGTCGGCCGATGTTTTTTTTTTTCGTTTTATATACTACTTCCGAAAAGAAAACCTAATTTCTGCCGTTCAATACTGAACAAATTTAAACTTTTTAAAATTATGCAAAATGCAAAGCGCTCAGCCGTGTCTCAAATAAAACCGCTGTAATGTCAGAGGTAACGTTCATATGTTGATTAATGGTTTTCTTTCATTTTTGATGTACTGCAGAATATTTTTATAAAATCCCAGGCCAGGAACATCACCTTCATGTTTTTCTGTGTTTTATCTTCAGCTACTTTGACACAAAGGCATCTGCTGTGATGCTCACACCTTTGATAAAGTCTTGCGTGTGTCAGCTTCCTTTTTATAGATACAAAAATATGTAAATGTACTGATCTGAATTATAATATTTCTGACTGTCAAAATTTCCCAGATTCAAATCTAATTGAATCGAATCGTGGATCAAATCGATTTGGGACCTTGTGAATCGGAAACGAATCAATTCTAGAAATCAGTGACCATACCCAGCCCTAATAGTTTATGTCCAGCTTGACAGTCTGCTTTTCATTCAAGATCCTTTTCTTTTTTTTTAATATGTATTTTTTTGGCCACGGGTCAGATATGAACCCGGGCCCACCACGCTGTGCTATACAGCATATGGTCGTCGCCTCATCCCAGTAAGCTAAGTCGGTGCCCCAAGGTCCTTTTTATGCTATTTCTTTGTTACAGGAAAAGCAAAAGGAGGGGAAAAATACAAAGCAAAGGTTACATGCTGCTTTAGCAATGCCAGCAATGGATTTGACAGACTAGAAGAAAAATAAACCCTTTGAAGGAGATATGTTCACTTTCACACCACTAAATATCTTTAATGCATTGCTGTTTGTTGTGGCTCTTTTGTTTTCACTGAGCTCAACAATACTTGTTTTTCTGCGTAAAGCTTCTACTTTTTCATTCCTGTCATAGGCCTTTTATCCCGGCTGGGTCGCAGTGGCGAGAAGCCTTACGCTCCGCTGAATCTGTTAGCAGACTTTGGAGGCGGTGGTCTTACGTGCGCTCTGGGGATTGTCCTGGCGCTGCTGGAGAGGACAAAGTCAGGGAAAGGACAGATCATTGATGCTAGCATGGTAAGCACCACTGACGTAAACATTTACTATCATGAACTGTATAAATGAAATAGTAAGAAATTTTTGTTTTTATCATAACATGCTGAAGGTGCTTGGTACATAGTGCTTACAGAAGCCCTGCAAACTTAAGACTGTGTTCTGTTTTATGTTGCACTGCACTGTGGTAAACTGTGTGGCTGTTATACTTTTCCCCCTGCAAGAGAATAGGAAACACTTAGGCTCTAAGCACACTATGAAAAATTAGTTTAATGTACTTATTGTAGTATAAATAAAGTAATCAGTGCGATGTCCACTCCGCTGCCCGTGTGAGTATCTGCAAGTGATTGTATTTCCTGTGATAGTAGGATAAGTCATTAGGTGGATTCCTTGCAAACATCTGGTTTATTAGGCAAAGACAGAAAAATGCTAGTGGGTGTGAAGCAGATATAAATGTGTGCTCTGAGCTTGTCTTATGACAGAAAAATGTTTAGAACCAGTCGGCTGAATTAAAGTGATAGAAAGTGTTAAAGTATTTACAATGATTTGTCAAAATGCTGAAAAAAAGGGCAGTATTCTTTGCTCTGAAGTGCAGCTACAGACTGATAGCCCTCACGTCAAATGCACTGCACTGTTCAGATAAACAGAGCTGAGTCTGTCTTTAAACAGGAACATCACAACATCCTTTGGAGATTTTTGTTTAGTGCAATACGTTTGCAATCCTTTTATCCTGTTAGAAAAAAATAGCTACCAATGTGGCTTGAAGTTACAGCAGTTCTACAGTTTTTACATAATCCATCCATTCATCTGTTCTCTTCCGCCTATCCAACTCAGGATCGGGCTATCTGGAGCCTATACCAGCTGCCATAAGGCAAGAAGTGGGATACTTTTAAATAATAATTATATAAAATACTTCACTAACTGAGCGGTCCTGTATACTCTCAAGCCTATTACACTATTTATCTATTTGTTGCTGCTGTCAGTGTAATGTTATAGAATAATATGAACTTAAACTAAACGAC